GGGTACCATACTTTAATCTCTACCTCGGAAAATTATTAATAATTTGATAATTATCGTCGAACGTCTTCTGCTCTAGGTAAATATGAATTCTGTGATTAGCTCAGTGTTTGATATTTCGTATACCGATGGGTACTTGGTAATATTTCCTTATTTAAAATGATAATTATTGCCTTCTGTTATAGATAACTACGAATTCGGTGATTACTCGAGTTCCCAATATCTCGTATATCGATGGGTACTTGGAAACGTAAAAGTATGCAAGCTCAGGTTACCCATAAGGCGACGTGAATTATGAGAACGTAGCAATAATAATCGGAGTCTCAAAACGAAGCGGCGATCCGCTTCATCTTCGCAGCGGATGGACAAAGAGGGCCCACCGTTAACCCCTTCGCTATTATGGGTGACTATAGTCACCGACCACGAGATGCCATCTACACACGAGGGATGACCATAGTCACCGGCCACAAAAATTAAGTAAGAGTAAAAAATTAAGACAAGTGCTATCATTCCTCTTAGCTCTCTTCGCAAAGAATTGCAATCTTTATTGCAATGGTCAGTTTTGCCTTCTCTTTTTTCTTCGAAAGATTTACGTCAAAAGACCGACCATCTTTATATTACCATCTTTGACACGTAGCTTCGTTCCACGAGAGAGACTTCGCGGACGGGAAAAGTTTTAGGCGTGTGGTAGGAACGAAAGAATATCGTATCCAACGGAGTAAAGTATAATCGGTCATCGAGTAATAAACTCGTTTAATCCAGGCCTCTCTTCTCCTCCCCTTACAGAAATTTTTCCCTATTTAAAAATGTTTCCCCATTTAAAAATGGCAGCCGCGAACCCCGCGTTAGATCCATCCAACTCGACTAATGCGCCCGCCAATGCTATTTTTCAGGATCGGCTGCATTGGATGGCTGGGTGAAGGCTGCCGTCGATACCGAAATGTCCAAGTTGGCGGAACGATTTGAAACAACGCGAGCCAGAGCCAGACACAGCTTGGGAAACTAACTCGCGGAGTATGGTAAGTTTGGAAATCCGTTCGATCAAAGTAATTCGGCGTGGAAAAATTTCAGAAACTTTCGACGCGCGATATTCTTTATTCCCGGGGTTGCAGGGAACCGTGGCGGTGAGGGATGCTGGAAACATTCTGGGCAAATGTTTGCCGTCTCATCGATTTTCTAAACGGCCGAACAGGGATGACCGAGCAAGAAGATGGCGGGAAAAATTAATTACCAGCACGGATCCATCGGATTCCCCTAGAGGATCGCGGAGTTTTGCTTCTGCCAACTGACCGTTGTCAATTTCCATTTTTAACGAACGAGGAAGAATACCCGGACGCATCGGCCGGCTGTCTGCCTATAAAAACGAAATATACCTCAATTGTGGGCAGAGCGGTGGTCATTTCCAGCACGGTTACCCCGCTTTTTCGACAAGTCCATTTATCAAGTTCCCGCGAACCTTCTCGAATCTCTTGCGGAAACGATAAATTCCGCGCGGGAATAGGTAGGTGTACGATAGCGCGGTATTTTTTCGCGTCCGCGGCGAATACGAGCGGCCGTGTATGCACGGATAAGGATCGGGACCTGGATGAAAACAGTCTTCGTCAAACAGAGCAGCTCAAACAAAATCGGAGAAAACGAATTTCGCGTGATCTCGCTGGCACGGTGCTCGTGTTTGAACACTCGAGCATCGAGAATTCCGTTGTGTGCCCGTATCCCGTGGCACCCGCGTGTTATATTTAATGAAACGGAATCGAGCAAAATCGACGATTCCGCGTTTTAATTTTTCAAGCACAGCTCGTGGCGTATCGGCCACACCGCGCGTTGCCATGGGTGAAAACTGTCAAAAATCGCGCACGTTTCGCCAACCGTTTCGTCGCGTTTAATCTCGTTTCTCCGGCTGTCAGTCAAGTAAAAACGTCCATTCCACGTATCCCTAGCTTTCACGGCGCTGGCACGAGCGAGACCTGTGCTTAATTGCGATTTAACCGACACTATGGTGAACCAAAGTACCGTGGTCCGAATTACCGAGCAACATTTATCCTCGGTTTAGCCGTCCCGCTGTTTATCGAGCAATTTCACAATGTCGTTTTGTACCGGTGAACTGGAAATGAAACTTTGATGGGACATTAGCGCGTTCGACGAATAGCGCGCGATAATGGCCAGATATTACCATTCGAGATGACACGATGGTCGTTCCTTCCGCGTTCCCGACCGAGATACGAAGCTGGCGTATAAAGCGTTTAGAAATCGAGGTAAAGATCGGATTAATAAATCAAAAGAGACTTTTCTTTCTGATTATATTTTCTATTTCCAGGTGGTGTGAGATAAACGGAGAATGGAAGTCTTCTGTGACGCGTGGCGCAGACGGTGGACTGTCAAAGGCAAGATTTTTACAGGCTCTATGACAACCATTGATAGATCTCGATGCAGGGCGACACCATAGAAATAGAGATTTCTCTCGGAAAAGTAAGATGCAAAATTTGTTGGACCGTAGTCTATCTTTGATTTTATTTTTCGAATATAATTTGAAATTTTCCCACGTCTCTTTCACGCAGAGTTTCCCCGGAACGTCTGCTCCATCGGTGACAAAGTAGATTTGTTCGCTCTTCCCGGCAGTCCTCTCGATCATGCGAAACAACGACATAGGCTCGGTGACACGCTGAACCCCCGTACATCTATTCATTCTGGCGTTTATCGAGCACCGGTTACCAAAGTTTTCCTCGTTTCTCACCGGGTACAAATACCTTCGGGAGACGTATAACTGACGCGATATCTCGTCGATTCTCCGAGTAAATTTCTCGAACGGGCAACTATCTCGAATACGTTCCCGCGATGAATCTTCCCGTGGATCGTTCGAAACGTTCCAAAGTTACGAGTCACGTACGAACGGTTTTGCAGAATGGAAACTTGGCAGAAGCAAGAGGAACCTAACGAGACCCGTAGTCTCGGATCCGGTATTTTTCGTCAACCTTGATCACCAGGCGCGAATCGCGGCTGTACATCTCGCATATCCTTTCTTCGCGGATAGTCTCCCGTTTCCGTGACTCTCTATCATCGTAGAACACGCGACTCAAGCCACGGATCGTGTTGCGAATGTAATCTGAGCGAGGCGGAATCCCGAGCTAGCAGGCAGCGTGGCGTAACGCGAGTTGTGCCAGTTCGTTTTCCACTCCCGTAGAGACGAGTGAATTTTCACGGGCGAATATGCCTGCGTTCCCTTTTGATATACTGGACCTAACTGCTGTCAAATAAATTTCGGCCCCGGGACGCGTCATCGTTCGACGGGGAACGCTTCCCTGCAGAGCGGAGGAGATAAAGAGCCGGAAGATGCGATGACACGCGAACGTTTCTTAAACCTTTGCTCCTCGTGCAATTTCGTTGCATTTCAAAGGAGTCGATTCTACCCCTGTCGAATAATCGGTTTTAACGTAAGGTCGAATTTCGAGGATTAGAGGATCGAGAAACGAAGTCGTTTGCATTCGTCGGATCTGCAGCTTGGATTGGATCTTCGAGATCGAGAAGATTACATTCTTTCCCCGTTTTATTCACTCGGAATATTCGCTGGATCGGAAACCGCTTGTCAGCAGCGCGAAGCTTTGCGTCCGGATGCCGAGGAATAAAAGCATCTTCCCTCTGAGAAAGTTGGAAAAAAGTGCAGCGCGTAGTTCTCGCCAACTATGCGATTATTGAAAATGAATTCCTGAAACGGACACTCGGCGATCACACGTTCGCGGGATTTTATCGCGGGAAATGCCGAAAGTTCGCAGACGCGTCGAGCTTTCTCGCTGAGCTTTATCGGCCGATCCCGTCAGCCAGGCTTCGAGTTATCGGATTTTATCGCTTTATAATTTTTTCCACTCGCTAGAACTTGCCCGCTCTCTCGGGCAACTTTCGAGTAGCCCGGGAAAGCTGTTAAAACGCACCTCGGATCCCGTCCGCTTCGTTAAAGCGAACAATCTTGCCCGAGTTTATCCGGTTTTGCTCGCGTTCCCGCGTCAATACGGCGTAATTACATTCAACTACCGTCAAGTTCTCCAACTTTATCGACGTTTGAATTCCTCCCCGCGTTGTTCTTGTTTCGTCGTTGTGCAAAAGCTCGCGCCACTTCCGCCGCGGCACCCAACGCAGCGAAATAATTGACGGTCAACGTGGCTAAGGGATGGAAAACCAGCAGAGGTATAACCTAACGCGAACTAACGGAGGAACGATTCGAACTGTTACAGCTCGTGGAAGAAAGTGCACTTTCCGATGCTTTGTCTCAACCTTTGTTTCCCAACGAACTCGTTATCCCAACGATTTTCTCGCGAATCCTCGAAACGCTCGAGAAAAGCTTCGACTTCGTCGCGAGACTACTCGTTAAATCTCGAGGGGAGCTTCGAGGGCAATCGATGCGCGTTCGAGACTCCTCGAATCCCTGATTTCGCGTTGCAACTTGGGTAACTTATCGTTGCAGGGAAGGCATATCTCTCCGCGAAGGGATAACCTCGATACGAGAGTCGAAACACGTTTCAGCCGAATGATCGAAGAATCTTATCGCCGATAGATCAGCGGATTGCCGTAAAACTTTGCCAGGCCACTAATTAGCTCGATTTAATCGACTGATCGTGTTACCTTTGTTTCCGCCGTGTTGGCGCCGTTCCAGACCACAGGTATTGCATCCACTGTTCGAATTCGGTTACCGGCAGAAAACAGCAAATGGTGCAATCGTGCGCGATCCCGAATCTTAAAACGTGTGAAATAAAAGAAATTCCACGGACCGCGAGATAGCGTGGGAAAGTGATACTCCTCGATCTCCAAATGCGGATTTCCGTGTAACGATATTTATACGGCAAAGGATAACATCGCGATTCCCTTGCCAGAATCGCAAAGGAAACTGGTAATAATAACCCGACTAACGCGATTCCTACGAAAATATACATTCGCGTCTGGAGTTACCGTGTATATTTCTGAAGGAGGATCAATCAGAAATTCGCGAGACAACGACGCTCGACGGAAAAACTCACCCAAGAATCCTGGGATGGCGCCCAAAGGCATCACGAACAGGCTGACGAGCAAATCAGCCACAGCGAGAGACAAAAGGAAATAATTGGTGACATTGTGCAGTCTTCTGTCGAGACCCACAGCCAGGCAGACCAATATATTCCCCAGGCCACCTGCTACGATGAATACCGCCACAAAGAGGAAGCTCCAGTCGAAGCGACGACTCCTCGTAGTCGAATTTAATTTTGTCCGGTGAGAACAAGAGATCGTCAGGTCCTCCGTCGTAGCGTTCTGCGTTGGCGTACATTCCAAAATCTGCGGGTGCAGCGAGAGAAAGGGAAAACTCGTTGGCAGAGTCGTTGAAACGTGGACGAGAAAGTTTTCGGATTACGCGATTCTTTCATCAGCGACAACAGGACCGAATACAGGTATCTTGCCATAGAAGTTTTAATTTACTTTTAAACCCTCACCTGATCGTCAAAGTTGGTCTCGTTGCAGTCCCTGAACCTCGGCAGCCTCGACAAGAAGACACCCTCGATGCTCTCCAGTCCGCTGAGAACCAGTGACACGTTCACGTCGCAGTTGGAGTAATCGCAGGGCCTGCAGAGCAGTGTCATGGATGACGTGAAGGTACCCTTCTCCACCGTGCACATATGATCGAACCCCGACGAGCTAGCCCCGCACTCCTCGATGCAGCCGAGAAAGCTATCGTTACAGGGCAGCTGGTGCAGCATCGCGGTCAGGTTGCTCGTCCAAGAGCTGGTCAGGTTCCCCTCCATTTCGCCGGCAAATTCTATCGACAGGGAGTTGTTGTCCGATATGTACATCCGTGTCCTAACGTCATCGACTTGACCCGTGCCGGACGACAGATCACGACTCACTGACACTCTGTCATCCCTGAACTAGGGCACCTTGTCCACGAACGTGCAGCGCCTGGTGATCCTGGCCACCCGCGATTCTCCGCTTTGTCTTCCCTTCCACATAATTACTTCTTCCACGGCTCACCGTTCGCCACTCGCGACCACTTTGACAGCACGAGACTTTGACAGCGCCGAGCCAGAGTCTGCTGTTCGATCTCCACGCGCGGTACGCAAACGCACGGGAAAATCCACGCGAATGGCGGAATACGGATTTGAAAAGGTTTCCGAAATGGCGACGCTTCCGAATGGAGTTAGGAGCAGGAAACTGCGAGGGAGAAACGCGATGCCGATGTCGAAGGGCGTTTATTCGGCGACAGCAGCGTTGACAGCGTCGGCGACGGGATTCCCCGTTGCTCGGTCAGTTTATGGATTCTTCAGGCCTGGCTTTACGACCGACCGCGCTACTTTGCCGCTCAGGGATCGCGCTGTAGCTTTCACTCGGCCAGCTTCTTCGTCTCTGTTACCTAGAACAAACGACGACAGTTTCAAGCTCTCCCTCGAGGAATCGGTTTATCGCGCGCGACATTATTAGTGCAAGTACTCGCTTCCCTCGCGGAGAATCCGAACCTGTAAAAGGAGAAGAAGAGGAAAAAATATTCGGGAGAGACGAAAAATTGGATCCGGGGGTTGCTCGGACGGCGAGACCGAAATGGCTGGTCCCGGACATTGATCCGCTGGGAACGCGAAGCCAACCTTCGTCGTTTCGTATGGTGGAAATGTTCCTAAATCGAATGGTCCTTCGTTTTCTTTTTTCTCTTCCAGGACCTTTGATTGTTTTTCTCTCGCGTCGAGGACGCGCGATATTCCTGATATTTCGCGAGACTTGGAGACAATTTTGCTGGCTTTGCTGGCTTTGGAACATCTCTGTGTTTGCCGAATTCTGCTTGAAAACACGGGCAGCGTGGTGGGTTAAGTCCGCAAGGAACCGACGTTTAAATTATTCATCCGGTAAAAAGGACAACAGCGATCGAAGGCGTCGCGTGATCTATCGGTTGCTTTGTCACGGTTCACGTGCAGACGTCATAGTCGCTCTCTGTGATCGCGCAAATGGAATATTTATCGGGGATTACAAAACGAACGGAGAGCTTAGAAAATCGATCGAGAATGGAGGTGAGTGCGAAATACTGCGAAATCGGTGGGAACGGGGTATTTTTTGAAAGTCGGATGGGAAATTTTTATTCAGAGGACGCTGCGCGGGGATCCAGGATATAATAATATTGCATCGATCAGAAATAGGGCGAGCTTAAGATGACATCGGTGTCGATATGTATCTCGCCTAAATCCGTTGGATAAATCACGTCCACGGGGGACGTTGATAGGCGGCAATAAACCACCCCATTTATGGATTTCGCTAAACCGTCGCTAGATGTACCGAGGAAATATTATCCGCTTATGTATTCCGCTCTATCGATATTGCATCGATTCGAGTGTTTGTGTAAGCCACTTCCTCTCAACGGAGGCAGATAACGCACGATTTTCACGGCAACGATTACCTTTCTCCTCGATCCCGTAGAAAGAGGCGAGAAGGATTATATTATTCGTGTTTTAATCGAAAAATTTTTAGAATTAGATAATATTAAGCATCGAGATTCGATAGCTGCTATCTGGGAACGATAAACGCACAACGTACACGGGTGAGCAGAGAATTTAACTTGCCAAAGTTCGAAGGCAGCGGGCGCCATGTTCCCTTGGCAAACTTCGGAATAATGTTCTGTCAGCAACAAATCCAACCTCTTAAGCGTGACGCGTAAACAGTTTCTAATTAACGCTCGTTATAATAGTCGTAGTTGAAAGCTTGCAATAATCGCTAATTAGCGGGGCACGAATTTTTCGAACTTTTCGCAGAACGCGCTTCTTCTGCGGCCCATGCACTATTCGCCGGCGAGTTGAAGAAATTGCGTTCGTCTTTCTGCTTCGAATAATCACGAACAATCCCCACTAACGAAGTGTCGATAAAAACGGAATCGCTTAATCTCCTGTTTTATACGCGCGTTTCGTGGAAAATATTTAGTCTGCATATATCATGGAAAGTCGATTAACATCCCACCCCAAGATTTCTTCGAAACGGCAAATAACTCGTGGAATCGCGAGAATACCCTGTCATGCTCTTGAAACATCTCATATATGAAGTTTAATAACGATAGCTGTGGACCATGATGAAGTGCAAGCCCTGCTGCTCCCATAAATAGCCCGTTTCTAAAATCCATAACGCTTCGCGAAGGAATACGTAATTGAAAATGGCGCCAGGAATTTTTATTACAGCCGCGGTTGAATTCTGCGAAGAATTTACGAAAGTACGTTCCCAAATATGATTTCAGATCTGAAAGTGGGATCATCGTGCGAGTATGAGATTCTACGCTGCTGCGAGGAACGTATATCGTTGCCGAAATTCAACGCGAGACTGATAGAAACAATTTTTCCACGAGTTTGCGGCGTTCGCCACGGTAAGGTGATATTTAAAGCAGATTCTAGGCAGCGAGAATTTCTGGAAATTGGTAACCCATTTCCGATCCACCCCTTTAACCTGTCAGATCATTGACGATCAGGCTCGAATAAGGAAATTTCATTAACGTCATATCACTCAGCATTCATAAATTACACTCTGTCCGATAAATTTCAACTTCTTCTCTGATCCGTAATAACCCGAGGGGGTCCTTCTTCCACAATTGCTGTAGTCTGTTGGTAGACAGCATCCTCAGGGTAGCGTGTGCTGAAAGGGATGAATGGAAAAAAGAAAGGGATGCGTTTCGTCCATGCAGTATGTACCGTGTTTATATTCTATACTGAAATTTATATTCCAGAAACATAAATAAAGTTAAAGTTAAGTTGCTCGCGTGTTTTATATTTTATTCCCTATTTTTGTAAGAAATAAAATATCTTAGTGTTGTGAGAATAGAGTTGTAGTATACCAAATCGAAGTCCCCTTTGCTAGACACGAAATAAAATAAAGTGTCAGTAGATTTTCGCTTTAACTTCTTTCGCTCCAAGTTACATTAGATATCTTTGATACAGATAGCGCCAGTAGGATGCGCCACTAGGGCGCATGTCGGGTCTCGATGCGCAGCCACCTCCACGTGATGAGACCTGGTAATTGGTATCGTTTTCCAAAAAATAATTCTTGGAAAACGATACCAAGCTAAGAGCTGCGCACAAAGTTTAAGATATTTCCTATCTTTTGTAAATTTTCGATGTTTCAGTTAAACATTTGACGATTTTTGGGGCTGCGAGAAGTAAGTGGATAGAATTCTTGGCAATGACGTCATTCAAATACAGTTATAGTTCATAAAAATGAATAAATAATCCAATTTGTTATTAATAATAAATTGTTCATAGCGTAAATTTATAATACATGAAAAGGATTCATTCATTGGTTATTACTTGAACAATATCATACTAGTGTTTAAAGGTACCTATAATTTGCAAAAGTTTAAAAATTATTACTCTTATTTCTAATAACAAATTGGTCACAACGTAAATTTATAATACAAGTGGAAAAATTACTAAATTATAGGCTATTACTAGTATATATAACGTATTTGCGTGAAAATGTATCTATAATTAGCAAAAAGTTAATAAATTACTACATTTATTGTTAAGAACAAATATTTTGCAACGTATATTAACGATAAAAGTAAAAAAAGTTAATAAATTATTAGCTACTACTTAAACAAACAACGTATTTGTGTTAAAATGTATTCGTAACTTACAAAAAGCTAATAAATTAATAAATTTATTGTTAATAGCAAATTAAAATTGTTGATAACAAATAGTTTGTAACGTATATTAACGATAAAAGTCAAAAAAGTTAATAAATTATTAGCTACTACTTAAACAAACGACGTATTTGTGTTAAAATGTATTCGTAACTTACAAAAAGCTAATAAATTAATAAATTTATTGTCAATAGCAAATTAAAATTGTTGTTAACAAATAGTTTGTAACGTATATTAACGATAAAAGTCAAAAAAGTTAATAAATTATTAGTTATTACAGCGGAAATGTAACTTTTAAAGGAATCGGTAAAGTTCGGAAATTTTCGCCGATCTTCGCCCGGCCGCCGCTATATAAGGGGCCCGCGTGCAGGCTCGAGCCAGTTGTCGCTTCGACTTCGGAGGGTCCGCGTTAATATTTTTCTTCCAGGTACTAATTATTTTTTGTTTCAGCTTTTAATTATCTTTCTTCTTTCAGATTCTATTTCTTTTATTCTAGATTTCATTGTTTGTGCATTCGAATATTTTGTACAATATTCGAATGCTTCGTCGTTGGTTTATTTGTATATCATCGTTGGCTAGATCAATGGCTATTCAGTGGCCATTGTCCACTCTCTTAAATAATTTAACAATAATTTCTTCTTTCAGGTTCTAATTATTTTTCTTCTTCCAGATTTTATTTCTTTCATTCTATTTGTCTCTTTGTTTCAGCATTCGAGTATTTCGTACAATATTCGAATGCTTCGTCGTTGGTTTACTTATGTCTCATCGTTGGCTAAATCTTTCCTTTCACAAATTTTACGACTTCCGTTCGATTTGTTTTCGTTAGAGCGTTCGAGTATTTCGTATAATACTCGAGCGCTTCCTCGTTGGTATGTTTATATCTCACCGTTGGAATGTTTCTGTCTCGTAGTTATGTTGCTCAGGTCTCGTCGTTGGCTTGCTCGTTCCATTTGGTTATTATCCTTGATGGTTTCCTCGTACTAATCCCTTTCCTTTCAGCTACATATTAACAATAATATATTCTGTTTTAGCTTTTAGGTTTCTCAAGATTCTGTTTGCGACACATCAATGAACGATGCGTGCGTTTACTTTTAAGTAATCATAAGATAGATCCATAGACTAAGTATCATGTGCGCGCTATCTGTACAAAGGTAAGCTACCTAACTTGGAGCGAAATTTATAAATTCTCTATCATTTTCTTATCCCCCTCGTTTAGCAAATAGAACATAATTGTTCTCGCGATAATCGCGATCGTTCGTAAGTACCGACTAGCCTACGCGACGTGCTCTCGTGTACTCGATAAGTACATGCTTCGTAAGTCATCCTCACGACTCGTCTCCGACACTCATTTCCAGTCACTGTCAATCTCGTCATGCATCGGGT